GAAGAAAATTAAATTAAATCCAACTCTTCCCACCCTGCCTGATCGGTGGACTATCCTTCCCACCTCAGAACTGCATTTTAAACTAATACCACCAATTTTCCCTTTTCCAGGAATGAGAATCCTGCAACCCCAGGGCACGGAACCATGAAACGGCTTTTGTCTTGGAGTTGGCGTCTTTGTTATCAAGGTGAAGTCAACGAGAACAATTGCTTACCACACTTGCTTTTCCTCTTCATAATCAGCATTGTTTGCTCATGCTGCAATGGCCCAAGCCAGCAACTGATATGGATTGGCAATTCAGGTGAATTGCACCCATATTTGTTCAACGGAAGAACCTGTAAACCCTACTACAACGAGGGTAGGGAGAGGATTCTGGGCACAGCCAGCAACGTTAATTACAGCTTATTGCTAATAGCACGGGTGAGTAGGAATGAAAGAATGGACAGCACAGAAAGGGGAAAGGTAGAGCCAAAGCGTATAGAGGGCCTCTGGGTGGGTGCAGCAGCAAAGGGTTAGAGAAAATGGGCTGATTATTGTGGGTTTACTGGGGTAAAGCGAGCAAGAATGGTGAGATAGGTGAGAACCACTCGGTGCTGGAGGGCTGCGAGGGGGACAGGGCAGTGCCGAGGGTGTGCAGCTTCCCCTCTGCAGCTGAGCACGGATAGGCACATGCACGTGCCCATCCTACGGTGGCTAAAATCCACTGAAAACTGCAGCAGCCTTTGAGGGGCTGAGGATCGAGCAGCCTCTTGGCAGCTGTTCCCAGATCTCCCCTGGCAGAAGCGTCGGGACATGTTCTCAGGATCCATTTTCCACACTGAGCCACGCACAAAGAGCTCAAGTGCTACCTGGAAAGGGGCATCTTCCCCTCGGATCCCTTGTCACCTGGGCATGCATCACTGCATCGGGACTTCACAAGGAGCTCGCTTCGCCTTCGTCTGCAGCGCAGGGAGCAGCCGGGCTGCGGGTGGGCTTCCGTGTGGCTCACATTCCAGGGGACAATGAAGCCATGGTTGGTCTGATGGGAAGCATTGCAACGGGCTGACTCACAGCTGCTGACACTTGTCACGCTGAAAGCATTTGGATATTTATGGAAGGCTGTTCACATCCGCGGTGCAGGGTATAGCGGGGCCAAATGCTCCGCGTGCTTTCTCCACGCCTCAGTCCCAGTCTGCAGTGCCCTTGCCGCCGGGCTGGAAAGGCTCCTGCCCCGCTCTGCCCACGGTTCCCCATGGGCTCCTGGCTGGGTCATTTCTCAGTGGAAGAGGCTCCTCTTTGTCCTGGCTGCAGCCCTCAATACGAGGCCCATCCATTCCTGTCCCACGCGGTCCTGCAATACTTCCCTTTCAGGCTGTGCCCTCGGCTGGGGGATGCCAGGGGCTCTGACTGGGGCGGCCAGGCCGTGGTAGTAAATAACCCAACAGCACAGAGCTCACAGCAAAGCACTAGTGCCCCTAAAACCCCCTCCGCAAGGCAAGCAAATGCCCGTCAGACACCACTTTATTAAAAAGCTCTTGGTTTTGATGGGGGGGAAACCCATTGCTCTTTCTCTTTCAAGTCCTTGCCTCTGCTATTGTCCAAGCCTGCAGGAAAAGGAAGGAGAATAGGCCGCCGCAGTTCCTTCCTGCACCCACATGGCTGCTCTCTTTGCGCCTGGCTCCTCTCCACGCCGGAGCTGAGCTGCGAGCGGGCTCCGGCCCCCGGGACTGCCATGCCAACACTCTTCACCAGTGCTAAATTCCCTTCAAAGCTAAAGGAAAGGAAGCTCCTAATGGACTCTAACGGAGTTGTGATTCTCCTGGGAGGCAGACAAGCTGTCCTGAAGAGAGAAAAAGCAGCACACAGATCAGTAGCGCTTCCACGGTTGTTCTGGCTGTCACTCTAGACATCCCTTGGGGTCACAGCTTCAACAAATTATAACAGAGGAAGATTTGCAGCTCTAGGCATGACCACTGAGGCAGGCAGGACAGGAAATCTGGCTGTGGTGCCACCACTTTGGAGGACTTTGGGTATCTCATGTTTTGCCTTGCCAGCATCTCAATTCCACCAGATAACACTATCATCTTGCTCTGGAGAGGGGCTCTCTGGTGGGATGCCCTGCTGGAAATAGAGCCTGGCAGCAGTGATGGGCCTAACCCACGCCTCAGGCACAACACGCTGGCCTCTTCCATTTTTATTTTGCCATTAGGAATTTCAGCGCTTTTCTCATGACACTGACAAAAATGTGCCACAGGAAGAGAGAACAAACCAAGAGGAGACGCTCAGCATTTACAAGAACAAGATGGTTGGCCTCTGGTTTTGTTTGTTTCCCTGCATGTTTGTGAATTAGCACTTGCTTGCTTGCTCGTGTTCTCCCACTCCCTCCCGCCCCAAACTGCAGATAACCCACGATGTTACAGCTCACCAGCGGCAGCATGAGGAAAGGATCAGCTCCTAGACCTCGGCCAAGAAACAAACGGCTCCAAACTACAGTGCCCTCCGAGTGCACCACATGCAGGGCACGGTCTATTTAGTGATTCATTTGAAGAGCAGAAGTGCTGCATTACTGCTTCCTCCCGTTAACGCGAGTGCCACAGCTCTGTGCTGCAGTTCTGTGCCAGCAAAACAGGCACGAGAATGAGCTCATGACACTGGAAATACACGTCCAGCTCCAGACTCTGCTCATGCTTCCAAGCATCACCTCGGAATTACTTCTCTCCCTCTGTAACACACACTTAGAGCCGGGCTCTCATTTCCAAAGGACCTTGAGATCCTCCAAAGGTACCAGAGAAGTCTGAAGCGTGGCTCTCCCACCTCGTCTCCTAGCTGGGCTTTCCCACCGCGTTGTTCACGGTTTGCAGAGATGGAAATCATGCCTCAGTGACCACTGACAGGACACAGGGAGCCAGGATTTATATGATGCAAGTCTGTGTTCCAAAGGGAAGATGCTGACTGCTGCCAAGAATGTGTTGTTTCTGGATTTCTTGGGCATTATCTGACTCTCAGCAGCAGCAGCGAGAGAGGAGGTTTTAACAGCACTCACTTGGGAGGCATGAGGACATTCAAGCATCAAACTGAGCTTTTAGACCTTTTAAGAAAATAATGAAGGGCACCATGCTGCTCCACTTAAACCAGAATAACATGACACAAGCTCAGAGAAAGATTTAGAAACTTTTTTGGGAAATAATACCGGGAAGAAAACACATAAAAAGCTAATTAGGGCTTGAGCTCTCCGTCACACTGCAGCTCCCGCGCCTTCCTGCCGGACTCGCCTCCCAGCAGCTCTACTCTGCAACAGCGAATTGATTTCAGCTGCTCTTTGTGCTCGTTTTGGGTCTGCTGCGGGGAATCCCGTGGTCTCCGGTTGCCCTCCAGTGGCAGCAGCTCGCAGCAGCCCGGCTACGGCGCTTCTCCCCGGCCGGCCCAGAGCAGGCGCTCAGTTCCCCCTGGTGTTTAATAGGCGGCTAATGAGCACGTGGCTAATGAGTATGCGGCTAGCCCACCCCAAGGGCCTACAGATGCTGATGCACTTGGAGGCAAAAAGGAGGGAGTCTTTCTCACCCTGCTCCACCAGCATGGGCCATCACCAGTCCCAACAGCAGAACGGGAACAGCCTGGTTTCTGAATCTTTTTCTTCTGTTTCTCTTTCAGCTTCTTTCCAGCCTGGACCAGGAGAGCCGTATGCAGTAGTTCGAGGATGGCGACATTTTTCCCCCTTTATGAGAGCTTTGTGTCTGTGCAGCCTCCCTCCAAGCGTGCAGCACCCGGTGCCCCACAGGGCAATGGCAGCACAAATAACCAGGTGCAATTCTTCCAGCTGACGCTTCCATCTGCGCTGATGAGGCCCAGCTTCCAGCTTCCCATTAACACACCAGGTCACACCACTTTATTTTCTGACCAACTCTCTCCTGTGTTTTCTCAGAGATGATAAAGACCTCCTAGATTAAATCTTACTTGGCAGCCCTGCTTTCTAAAGCATTGATCTCTGTGACCTGATACACAGATAATTACATTACTACAAATCCAATACTGTGTTATCCAGCCCATCACAGGAGATAAGCTCCGGGGAGCACAGCTCTCACCACTTTGGTCTGGTCACGCAGGAGGTGCCCTGTGTAACCTCCCCAGCATCACTGCAGACAGCACTTTCCCAATGCCAGCCCCGTTTTCCTTCACAACGCTCCTTTTGAAGCGTTTTTGTGCACCCTACCCGCGCCCACTCATGCCCTTCGTGGTGCCGCACACCATCTCACATTCCAAGCTGTGAGGGCAGCATTGTAACGATCCATCACCCCCGTGGGCCCGGCAGAGGCCCAGCGCCCTCAGCGGGGAAGGGAAGCCACCACAGGCAGCCCCGAGGCGCGGAGCAGGGAGGGGTCTTCATCCTCCCCAAAGGCCCTGCTGCTCCCCCACAGTCGCTGCGCTGCACCGGGTGCCCCCGAGGGGCCGGGGCGGCCATGGCGGGGGCAGCAGCCCTGCCTGCTGAGGGAGACGGGCCCGGCTAGGCGCTGCGGCCGCCCTCAGCGCCCTTCCCGCCATTTCCCCTCCGCCCCCTCTCCCCGGGCGGCTCCAAGCCGCGGGGGGTGGCGGGATCCCCCGCCCCGCCCCGAGCGCGGGCGGGCGGCGCAGCGCTCCCGCCGGCTTCCCCTCCCCGCGGGGGACGGGAGTGGTCGGGTCTGGTCACGTGGCCCGGCGGAGCCGCCTGCCCCATTGCCCTCCGGGGTGTGTGTGTGTGTGTGTGTGTGTGTGTGTGTGTGTGTGTGTGTGTGGAATGCGGGAGCGCTCTAGTGCGTGCACGTGGGTGCGGGGCCACGTGATTTCACGTGCCTGCGTCCGGGCGCGCGTGGCTCCTGCAGTGCGCAAGCGCAAGCGGGCGCTGCGAGAGGGCCGGGTGCGGTGAGGTGTGAGGGGCGTCCTTTTCCCTTTTTCCCCCTTTTTTTCCCCCTTTTTTCCCCTCTCCTTTTTTCCTCCTCTTCCCCCCCTTTTTTTTGCCCCCTCCCCTTTCTTTGCCCCCCCTTTTTTTTTCTCCCCTCCCCGTGTTTTGGCTGCCCCGGCCGTCACGCTGGGCGTGTGGGGACCCTGACACCGAGCACGGCCGGGCCTCGCGCAGCGCCCTGCGGCCCTCCCCGAAGCGCAGCCCCCGTAACGCTCCTCAGCGCCGGCAGGAGGGAGTCTGGGTGGGTGCTGCCTCCCTGGGGCCCGGCGATCCTAGGAGGTGAATATCAGAGGCCACATGGCTGGCTGATGTCTCTGTTCGCCCCCAGACACTCGCCCTTCGCTGTTGGGTGCGCTCCCGGCTCGCCCAGCTGTGGCCAGGCCGTCTCCAACAGGCTCCATTGCTGGGAATGCTTTGCCATGGTTTTGGGGCTTAAATGGGGTGAAGCCTGGCAGCAGGAGCGGTGTGGGCTCCCCGGGCTGGGCTCCCCTCTGCTCTGCCTCCTCTGGGAAAAGGGGCTCCAGCACCGTCTGTCACTGGTGAGCAGCACGCGCCCCTCGTCTGAGATGCTGTGGGGAGGAGGCGATGAGGGGACGGTGCTGATCTGGTGTTACTGGGATCTCGACCTGCCTGGTGGTATTTGGCGTGGCACCCTGGGCTGCAGGTTTGCAAGTCCTTCCCAGGAAATCGATGAGAAACCTTGCGCCACGGAGCTCGGCAGTCTGCTCGCTGCCTGGAGGGTGTTTATTTTTGTCATTAAAAGGCAAGCATGTGTTTCTCCTCTGTCCTGCTACTCTACAACTGCCTGCTGGGGATTTTAAGTTATTATTTTATATTTCATTTATGTCTGGAGGCTCTTTCATGATAGAGTCTGTACAACCACATAGTCTTTCCTACTGAGTTTACAATCTAGGCAGACAATGGATGAGGGAAATTAAGTGTTAATGGCCCCGTTTTATAGCTTGGGAATTGAGACCTGCTGTTCCTCAGTGTTTGGTCTCGGATCATGTGGGGAATGTGTCGGCAAGCCAGGAAAGGAACCAGATCCCAAGCTTCCCTTTGTGCTGAGGCATTCAGGCTGCTGTTTTTTTCAGAGCCTGTGATGAAGAAGTGATCAGGACTCACTGAAACAGAGAGGAATTTGTTTGCAGAGCCACGCCACACCAAGCGCTCTGCTCAGGAAAGCGAGCCCCAGGGGCGGAGGCAGAGCATGGGGTAGGAAAGCTTACGGAAACACCAAAGGGCTGGGAAAACTGGTGCCAGGCCAGGGGTGGGTGACAGAAGCCCTGGTGCAGCTTGACTTTGTGCTGCTGTCCAGAGCCTGCCAAATCTGGAACCAGTGCTTTTAAATGTTTACTTTGCAGGGAAGGCTGGTGGATGCGCATTGTCCAGAAGCCCGGCAGCAGCAGAGTGCTTCACCCAGCAGAGGAGATGCCAGAAAAGGGAGTGCGGCAGGTAAGAGATGGGATGACCTTCTGCTCAAATCCTTCAGCAACACTGACAGCATCAGGAATCACCTAAGGATTATCTTTACTGAAATGAAAGCTGTGGGAGCAGGTTAGAGTCTCTGCAGCTGGAAAAAGCAGAACAGAGACAAACAGGGTCACGCCGCTCCCTGCTGCCAACCCACTCAAGTGCTGTTGTCTCAACAGCTTACCTTGCAGTGCCTGTGCCTGCACCTGGGTGCTTGACCGACGTCACTGTGAAAATCAACGTTTCTGAGTGGTGGTAGGGCTCACTCTCAAACTGTGACCTTGGCTGCTCTATGGGCAGGCCATGCATAACCCTCAAAGGACGGCGCTGGTCTACCCTGCTGTAGCACAGCCTGCTGCACAAACAAGCTACCATTCTATTTATCATTGTATTGCTAATTTTTTTGGTGTCTTCTTGGACATTTTTCAGAAGATGGCAGGAATTCCTTGCCTCTTGCACATATCCTAGTTTTTAATGGTCTTGGAAAATGTCTAGCAAAACATTTTTAGGGCCAAAAAGGGATGTTTGATTCCTTATCTGTTGCACACATTCTGGTTTGCGGGGGAGAGTGGGTTGGCAGCATCTCGGAGAACAAAATATTGAAGTGTTTTTGTAAGGGGGTGTGGGGAAACTTTCCTTGATAACAGATTTCATGTCACTGTATGTTTATTTCTTTAAGGTTTGGGTGGGTGGAGTGTGGGCTGTGGGCTGTATCCCGTTCAGGTAAAAGCCATCTGCATAGGCGGAGCAATCTTTGTTGTTTTTGTTCATTTAACTTCTGCAGAAAGCCACAAAGAAAGGACTTCTTTTCTGTGTGAACAGGGGAAAGACACGTTACCAGAGCCAGCCCAGATGGAGCCAGGGAGGTTTCAGTTGCAATAAGTGTTATTTGAAGGTGAAATGGAGGTAGTGGCTTCTGCTGCCAGTTACGTTCCAGAGCCCTGCGATGCTCCCTCCTGATTGTTTGGCTGGTGGAGCTCTGGCTGGCGTATCGGCACGTCTCAGGGCCTCTGCTGGGACAGAGTGCTGGAAACATATCAGATGGAGGGGTTTGAAATACATGTTGAAAGCTGCAATTGCCCCAGTGTTAGCCTCCATTGAAAAAAAAGAAGCATGCAAAGTTAAATTATGCTTCACGCATATTGGAGGAGTGTAGAAGTGTAGGCTTCGCGGGAAGAGCAGCTAAGGGGTTTGGCCACCCCCGTGACAAAAGGGCCTGAAGTAAGCCTGTTTCTTTGCTATATGAGAAATAGTCTAATTCTGTAACTTTTCATGTGCATTTTTGCTGACAAATTCAGGAATTACTCCATAACATAACTCCAGTTATTTAATACAGCGGGGTTTTAGGGCAATGGAAACACTCTAGCAGTTAGCACAGGTACCGTCTGCTGTGGAAATTTCTGTTCTAACTTCTGCCAGCTGTGGCTTTCGTACTGTGCAAAATTTACACCTCTGCTAAGTTTGTTCTCACCTGCATAACAGTGACTAAGTCCTTGAGGCATCAAGTGAGGCCTTGGCTGACATGATGGGGTTTTTTTCTTGGTTCGTCTGCAAAGGCTTGGAAGCTAAGGCTGTCCGCTATTTTGTAGTGACCAGGGAGCAGCGCGGGGATTGAGGAATTTGGCTCGTTGTGGGGTTTTGTAGAAGTTGCAGTTATGCTCAAGCAACCAGTTTTCACAGGGCTGCTGCTGAAGTGCAGCTTCTGGCGCTGCACGACAGCAGAAATTGAGCTCTCTACGCGTTAGATCAGGGAGTGATTAAAAATCAGAATGAGGCCTCGTGGGGAAAAATGTGCGTTTGTAAAGTTCACTCTTCAGCTGCCTGAAAAATTGCAGCTCCCTCGGTTGGGAAGGGGCTGCCCTCCGCTCCCGCCACTGAACGCTTCAGCAGCTCCAGTGCAGTTTCCCAGGGGATGGTGAGTGGTAGGAGGTGACTGGAAAAGGCCATTTGTGGTTCCCAGAGTTGTCTAGGAAATTTGAGTATGAAGGTAGTGGAAAGTGATACATGGAAGATGTGAGAAACATTCTGAAGTTTAGCATTTAAAATGGATTATTGAAATCACATGGAAAAGGCATGGGCAGTCTGATTCGGGGGTAAAAATAAAGTGAGTCAAAGCCATTTTAACACTGCTTCCATTAAATCAAACTAAAATGACTCTACTTTTTAGCCTGCTTGCCCACAGAGGACTTTAATGTGATCCAGCTAATACTATTTGAACCCAGACCTTGATTTCAAGGGTGAGTTTTTCTGGATTTTTCCCGGAGTTCCGGCTCGGTGGGCACAGCGTGGCGTGTCTGCGGTGGAGCATTTCTCAGCCGTTCCCGCATGGTGTCAGCATCTCTCAGCGAGAGGGCTGTGGTTGGTCCGGTTTGCTATGGATTTACCCGGGCTGTAACCAGAGATCAGAGGTTTGGTTGGGAGCCTTCTGCCGAGAAGAGTGTCCTTTTTCATCTCCTGGGTGACTGAAGGCAAGAGGAGAGGAGAGGAGAGCAGCTGGGAGGGAAGGTTGCAGAGGGGATCATGTCCCTGCTCTTTTAAGAAATCACAGCTTTCTGTCTCCACTCTCTGCCGGTCACTGGTGGTGTGTGATGACCACAGCCAAAAGGGGACTGTGACCGTGGACTTGTTTTGGATGCGCTGTGGGTCACTTGGAGGCCGGCTGGGCTGTCGTGTCTTTCCAGAGTTTATTGCCTGGGGAGGTTGCCAGTGCATTATCAGGGTGCCTTCTGTTACCTGTCTTTGCATATAATCTGTATTTTTTGTCTTCAGATAGCTTCCTCTTGCAGGAAGGAGAAGGAAGTGTTTTAATTTTGGTTACTTTCAGGCCATGTGCTGTGACCGACAAACTTGTGTGTCTGCAGGAGGAAATGCCCTGTGAGGAAGGATGCTTTTTGTACTGCTGGTTATAAAGGGAATTAATTTCCAAGCTGAAGACCACTGAGTGCCATACAGGATCTGTAAGACATGGACAGTTGTTAGAGCCAGGAGGTGTCTTGGACACATCCAGACTCCTCTCTGCTTCTGCTTCTCCTTGCCCCTTTCCCACCGCACATGATTTGCGTGGCTGGAGGGAAGGTGTGGAGTTACTTATCTGCAGCAGATCCGAGACACGGCTGGGCTTTGCCTGCCCCTGACAGCCTGGCTCGACCGTGATCCCGAGGGAGAACAACTACATGTCCCTGGGGAGATGTTCCCACCGCGATGTCAGTCAGCGAGCTGTGGAGCAGGGACCTGCTGCAGAGCAGAGTGTGACGCCCCGCAAGTTTCCTGCTGTAGCTTAGGAGCAGGTCTCTGGGATGGGCATGTCCCAGAAGTCCCCAGAGAGAAGCAGCTGGTGTCTCTTGATGTCTCACTAGTGCATCATGTCCGTGCCCTCTTGTGCAGGAGCGGCAGTGGCCCCGATGCTGGGGCAGGTGTCCCGAGTGGCAGGAGGGCTGTGCGGCACGGCTGCGCTGCTGCGGGACGATGCTCCACCGTCTCCCCAGGCGCAGGGTGAGCCGGCGTGGCGGCTGCGTGTCCAGCAGCTGCAGCCTGTGTAACGCCCCAGACAGGGTGCCCAGCTGAGGAGGCAGGCTCTGACAGTGCTTCTTGCTTGTGATGGTGTGGAGACCTCTTCTATTGTTTGTTTTTTTTTTGCAGCACGCTTCAAAACAGTCTCCACATCTCCGGCTGCACGCCTCTCAGCTGTTTGCTAGGTTGTGCAAGCAGCGCTGGCACGTGAGGAGTTGCTCGTTTGTAGATGGGTGTGGAGGCCCAGCAGAAGCTGCTGGCAATAAAGGCTTTTTGATGAGTCTTGTAAGGATCTGGTTACCTGCCAACTCTCCTGCAATCCCACCCAAAGCCCTGTGGAAGCCACCTCTGTTGGGCTACAGCTCTGTGACATTCAGTGACCTTCACCCTCTGTGTGTGGTTGGGTCATGAAGTTTGAGCAGAAGCATTGTAGCTACCTGTGACCCTCTGGCAAGGCAGATGAGAACCGACTGCGAATGTGTTAACCTCTTCAAAGGAGTCTTGTGCAACTCCCCCTTGAAGAGCAGGGCTGAGCTGCAGAGTGGCAATTGCTGTTGGCTGTGTTAGTCATCCAGAAAGAGACTTGTTTTTCCTTCTCCCCCCTCCCCGCCCTGGCACAGGGGTAGAGATTCTTTCTCAGTGCTTGGTGTGGCCAAAACTTAGAAGAAGAAATGTGTTATCTCCAAGGGAATCAGTCAACTCTCCCCTAAAAACACGAGCTTCTATTTGTGCAGCTCAGGCGGTGAGATTTTGCTCTGGCAGTGTTGAATTCTGCTGCAATACCCCCCAGAGTCTGAAACCAGTTCTGCTGGGAGACGTATGCAAACATGAACGTGTGTGTGTGTGTGTGTGTGTGTTCACACCTCCTTCCATGTTAACGTTCACATGTAGGTGGTGATTCCCTGATAATAAGATGCAAAGCAGTGGGTATACTATAGAAACCTGCAAGGTTGCACTGGCTACTTGTGCTAGTTACACCAATAAAGTGGAGAGAGGGGGAGGCCTTTGTACCCACCAGTCACCATCTGCGGTGGGGTAGCGTGCTCCTGCTGCAGAGGGGAATATTTACATTTCTTGTAATTAAAATTGGTAAACCAGAATGGCGACGTTGCTAGACCACAAGAAGCCTTGTGGGATCAGGATCTGAGGAAGTCACCAGTGATATCTTGGTCAGACAAAGGTTTTTTGGATGTCCAACTCAACACCTTCATTTTCAGACAGTTGGGTGGGAAAGAGGTTGCCTTTGTTGGGTGTGTCAAATGTAAAAGCTCTAGTGTCTCTTGGAAATGAAGGCTCAAAGGAGTCTTTGGAAAAGGCACTTTGACTCGTGAGTCACTTCTGCTTGTGAAGATTTTAGTTTTTACTACCTGGTTAGTTAAGAGCATTTTAAGAGCATCTTCTTCCTTCTCTGGAGCATTCAGCCACTCGGAGTTTGGTCCTTACACGAGCATAAACCAGGACATTGTCTCAGAGGAGTGCTGCCTTTGAGTTTTACAGTGCTGTATGGCCTTGAGGACAGGTGGGGACTGAGAAGTAGCTGCATTTGTCACTATCCTGTCACTGCATGGGGCTTCTGCAGCAGGTCTGGGGTTCCTCAGGACTTAACAGACACCTACATGAAATCCATCTGCTCTTGTTGCAAATCCAATAAAACTCTCAGTACTGGGGGAGAACATGCTAAGTGGTTTCTGTTTCCTGTGTTTTTTCAGAAGTACACTTGGTTGCATGTGTATAGCCGTTGGGGATTTGCCTCTTCTCTCTCATGTCGCATAACATGAAAGATTCATACCTGTTCCCCAGGTAATGCAGAGGCTTTTCATGAAGAGTCCTGTTGCTTTCAGTGGATTTTAGACCGTGCTCGTAGTGTAGCAGAAGGAACTAGAATCGATGGGAGAAGCTCTAATTTTGGTACAGTGCCATGTGCGCAGGCTCTGAATCCTGGAAGGCCTTTTGGACTATAATTGCACCAAAAATTATTTAGTCTTTTTCTCTTCTGCAGGATGATTCTAGACATTAGAATTGTCCTTCAGTCGCAGAAATTTCCCAATAAAGCACATAAGCTCTCAAGAATTAGGGTTTTGTGCAATGGTGCTCATCAGCAAAGAGAGGAAAGTAAATATCTGCTTGCTATCTTATTTTAGACAATTGAATTAAAAAAACCAAAGCAGCGGGAAGGGAAGTTAGAGTTTCGGTTCCTGCAAGCTGAAGATTTGCATGGGTTCAGCAATGACAAATACATGAGATCATGCCTAGATTGGCTTTGCATCTGCCATGCATGTGGTAAAGGTGAACCGAAAGTCTCCGTACTTGTTAAGACCTGAATAAGATTTTTGTAACGAGCTGTGGCAGTGACAAGTGTTTGTTTAATATCAAGAAGATTTGACTCCCTGCTTGGGTAATACTCTTAGCTCTGAAGAACTGGGGTCTTGTTGAAGGACAAAGTGAAAAATAACTTTCAGTGCAGCTTGAAGATAGGTTAGCCTGCTTCCCAGAGCTGTGCACGTGCATACTTGAAAACTTGCAATTTCTGCAAAATTGAAACACGTGAGGTTGTCTTTTTTGTTTCGGCAAGAGGGCAGGAAGGCTCCCCTACGAGGGACTAGTAACAGAGCTAAGTACTCCTGCTACTACTTTTGCAAAGTGACATTTTGTCTTGTTTTAGTGCTTGGAGAAGAAGTGCAGGATTGGCTCACATCACTGAGGATGTGACCCATATTTTCTAAGTCTTGTCCAGAGTTTTAACCTTTGGGTCAGACTGAGCTTCCTTTCCCCTGGCAGTACTGCTGCTGGAGACGTGCCAGCACTGAAGCTACCTTGGCCACGCATGCCTCGGGTGGAATGGCGCAGTGGCAGTCCGGAGGGTCATGCCAGCACAGCAGGGCAGTTGAGCAGGAAAAGGCCTGGTAGAGAGTAAATATTGCTAGGTAATTTTTTTTTTTTTTTTCTCTTTAGTCAACCACCTTCTTTTCTTCATCTTCTCCCATCTTTCTCATTCTTACTTTTTTGTACTGTGCATTCAGCTATTAATAGATTGTCACAAGAAATAAACTGCCCATTTTGGGAAGCGTGTCTAAGGAGAACTCAGCAAAACCCTGTTAAGGTCCTGTCCCTTTGCTTGTGTTATGTTTTTACGGTCAGCCACATCCGAAGCTGGAGAGTTAATCATAATGTTTAACATCCATTCCCTCCTCTTTTCCAGCGCCCTGAAGCATACCCCCACCACACTGGGGGCTGTAAGGAGGGTAAGGTGCTTTAGCGGTGGATTGTGCTGCTGTCATTAAATGCAGCATGACGCTGTTTGTTTAGATATTTTTCATTATATTCCAACTGCATGTTCTTCTCCTGTCCTTTGTGCCAACAATAGGCTCTGGGCTGGTCCTGACACCTTTTAATCCATCAAAAGCCTCTGCTTTTCAGTCTGGTCAGGCTCTTTGATCTACTTGCTTTGAGGCTGCGAAGCTGCTTGTGATGGTACAAACAAGGGGCAGCTGAGGTCTCAGCTGACTTAAGTTACCCCAGATGCATCTTTCAGGAGCTCAGGTAGGAAGGAAGAAATGCCCTGGTGTGGGGAGAAACCCCACCCCTGGCCCCTTTGGGGGAGGTGGCCCCCAGGCAAGGCGGCTCTGCCAACAAGCTGGGGAGAAGGTAGGTGGCCGTGCAAGAAGTTCTCCCTTGAGATCTTACACCTCCACCCCCAAACCAGGAGTTTGGGTTATTTTTCCATGTGAGAGAAGATGTGGGAGAGGAAACCATAGCTCACTTGCAGCTATTCTGATTGTTGCATCATGCCACCACCCTTCCTCAGCACCCACATGCGTTATTTTTAGGGTTTGTTTGCCTCACTTAACTCCAGCTTATTCTTTCTTGGGGTGACAGGGACTTCCACCCACAGCTACTCAGGTGGTCCATCAGAGACCACAGCCATGCCTGGAAAAGCTTCTCCTTCACTGCCATATCAAGCAGTTCCCTTACCAGTAAGTGATGGGAAGCAGCACCTGGGACAGCACAGGAAGAGAGAGGGGACAGACCAGCGCCTGCTCCGGGATGGGTGGGAGCAACTGCAGTTAGTGAGGCCTCATTCCAGTTCACCTCCTGCCCAGCCCAGATCCATTTGGCACTGAGAGCTTTTGAACTGTGACTTAAAAATACGCACCAGGACGTGTGCAGAGATAAGGAACTGTCAGGAAAGGAGAAATAATTAGCAGGGATACTTCGTTTGGAACAATGAGGAGTCCGGGGCTTCTGAGCAACAAAGAAGTTTCCCGCAATGACTTGGAGAAGGGATTGCAGGAACCACCTGGGGTCCATGTGACTGTGACTAGGTAGTAGATGTCTCTCCTGCTTTTGAGGTCATTTAGTACAGACCAGTGGCCCCTTTCTGTAATGAGGGCCAGGCTTTTTTAATTGACTTTTTAAAAATTTGAAATAGATTGGTCCCAGTCTCCCAGTGAACTGTAAAAAGAAGCTTTTTTTTTTTTTTCCTTTGTCTTGCTGGTGAAGGGTACGAAAATGGGTTAAATCCATCCTAGAAATGCACCTCTTCTTCTGTAACAGGTTCTGTGTCATTTGGCTGGGATATTTGTGGTCTAAGGTGTGACCTTGTATGGTTGCTTGGTGGGCTGAGTTTTACTGTTTAAATTAGGGTTGTAAGTTGGAGTCTCTGTTTTCATAAAGTTCAGGAACTTTGCTGTTGAAAAGCTTGGTTTGCCATCATCTCTGAGAGGCAGAGGGAGTTGTTAAAAGCCTGGTGGCTTTCTGCAGTTCCCCAGTTCTGTTTCATACTTTGTGTGCTCTAGTTCAGAGCTCCTGTTTCAGCAGGCTGCATCTCCTGAACAGAAGAGCTCCTTGGACTCAGGGCACTTGAGACTTGTGACCTAGTTGTGGTAAGTGAGACCTATTGTTTATTTAAGGAACCTTGGGTTTAGACTGTTATTATCTAGAGTTGTATTGTGGTGCCGTGGTCTTGAGATGCTCCTTATCGCTGCTTGAACCTCTGTGCCGGATGTTGAAACTAGCCTAATACTTTCTCTCTAGGGAGAAACCATGAGAGACACACACTGCTTAGCGAAAGTAGAAATGGTCCTTAGTTCTTGCACTCAAATGGCAAGTTTTATGTCTTTTAGTTTTCTTAAAGGTTCCTTCCTCTTTGTTTTCATGATTGCAATTACAAGACACTTTTTGTAGAGGATATTGCTCATCCCCCTGTGCCCGAGGCATAAATTAACTGGGGAGGTCAGGAAGGAATGTTCTGTGCGTGTTAATGGTGCCGTGTTGGCCTGTTGGAGTTGCAGAGCTCGTCTTGACTAGCATGGCAATCACTGCTCTTACCTTGTGTGTGGGTGTTCTGGCCACCAGTGCTGTGGTCACTGCTTCCCCCTGGGAGCAGTTTGCACAGTAATATGGTATTTGATTACTGACTCTTTTAAATTTAACAATAAAATGTTACAACATAAAGGCTTTTCACATAAACACTGCAAAGTAGCGATCAGGTATATCCAGTAGTGGAGCAGTGTTAAGGCAGTTGGGTTAATGGTTAAAATAAAGACTACTACTTAATCTGTTGGTGACTTGTTTACTGTATAATTCATCAACAGATGAAGTAAGCCAACTTTTTTTCTACTTAGTTTATTTTACATGCTCTTATTCTTGCAGGGCAGTACTGATATGAATCCAGGTTGATCAACAAACAGCTCTTGACAGGACCAGAAGGATACGATATGAACTGTGATACGTACAAGATGGAGGAAGTACAATGGAAAAACAAAGGTATTTTTTTTTAAAACGTTATAATTTATTTTCAACAAATAGCAAAACACGGTCAGTTTTCTGACTTCAGTGAAGAATCTTAAGTTCAGATCTTAGGCCAGTGTTAACATGAATCATCTAAATCAGTGGGAAATTTGTGAAAAAGCTATGCACTCTGAAGTCCCTGCTGCCTTGTTGAGGAGGCACCAGATACAGGTGTCCTGGATGATGCTTTTAGTATCTCGTTTGTATGGAAGCAGCTGCATGCTTTCCTATTTAGAATACATCTAGTTGATAAAGACCTGAAGACTCAGTTTGTAGAAGGGGAATGGTTTTATCAAACAGGAGACAAGTGCAAATGCATGTTTTGGTGAAGCAGTTTTCCTTGCTAGAATAAGTTAGGTGAACGTATTTTGCATAAAAAGTTTTAGTTAAAGCAGTGTATTTTCAGGGTACATTCATGTATATATTTAACTTTTTATGTGTAAAGCAGCTTTATGTATATGAATATACATTTAGAATATATTTGTACTGATGAAGAAAATAAAAAAGGCCCTGTATTATGGGTATTCCTTGCTCTGGCACAGTTCTTGTTAGCTGAGTGTCTTGCCTGAGTAAGGACTATAAGAGCAAACTAAGAACAAAGGACTATTCAGTGTCAGTCATAACCCCCCACCTTATATGACAGAGAAGCAGCCCTTCTGTACATGTTACAGGGGCATTATAAAAGAAAACGTGTTAAATGATTGGATGGGATTGTACTTCTGCATAGACAGGGCACGCAGAGCAGCATGTGCTTTCGTCCGGAAGACCAGCGTTTGGCAAAATCCCATACCCCAGAGCCAAATGGTTTATGAAGAAGAATTTACTTAACCAATATAGCAGCCAGCTATATAACTGGCAACATTGTCTCAAAACCAGCTAATTGAATTCTCTCCTTGGAAGGTTGATAAAGCAATGGGCTTTGACCTAGGATCCAGAAACTTCCCTGTATTGCTGCTAATGGTTCCATGTGTGACATTGAACACAGTATAAATGTCTCTTTAGTAGGAGTGTTTTGCTCTGTATGTCTGCTGGAGCATGCCTGACGGTTCTCACAAACGGGTCTGGCCGCAGCTCTGGAGGCTGAGGCTGCGCACCTCCGCTGAGTTAACCTGCTCCTGCCCAGCACCAAGAGCGGTTCCTGGCCAGGACCTCCTGCCACTGAGGCCTGGCTCTGGGGAGGGCTCTGCGCCACGGGGATCAGAGCACGGGTCGGTAACAGATGCACAAACAATTGCAGCAACTCCTCCCCAGTTGACATTCAGACGTCCCACGACAGCAGTTCCCAGGGTATTCATCTGTCGGCAGGCATCCTCGCTCTTCCAGTAAATGCACCAACTGGCATTACATTCTGGGCTTCTTTTCAAGGTCTTATTTTACATGACAATAATCTGTTGTTCAGCTGCCATGTTCCTTTCAAGTACGTGACCCTGGCAGTAATCTTCAACGCGTGACTGTCCTTTGCATTTAAATCAAACCACAGTGAATGGCATCTTTATTAGCACTGACGTATGAATGCAAAACATGTTTTCAATAGCTTATAAGTGAAATACCCATCTGACTCAAAAGCCAGCTGCTAACGTCCTTCTAGAAAGACATGTTGATTGGAAAGGGAGAAGCTGACCCACATTCTTGTTTATCTCTTGAGGTCAGCAAGCAATAGCACAGAAGGCCACCACATGTATGTGAAAATCAACAGACTGTGTCCGCAGCAGTCGATAAAGCTGGGTACAAGCAAGCTTCAGATACTGGCAGAATGAAGTGGTTGGACTATAGGCTCAAGTATATTCTGAATTTGAGCGTTTTGCCTTAAGAAAAGTGTACAAATTTGCCTTGGGCTTGAAGATTCTGGCACTAGTCCACTAAAACACATCCTTTATATCAAGTGAGTGCGTAAACAGTCCCTCAGCATGTCTGGAGTAAGGATCACATTGAGACAGGCTGCATGGCTGAGGGATAAAAATGTATTTTAAGCACCTGGCTGAATTGGTGCAGAAGTATCTGTTTCTTAGCGTGAGTTTGTATGCTTGGTGATTGGAAAGACATTGGTTATTTGGAGCTTGTAAGTAATTTGTCTTTGTGCAAAAAGTTTGAATCTAAACCGTGCTAGCTACCCCTGCATCAGCCTTGTGCAGGCAGTTGCCCTTTCAGAAGCTAAAGCAGACTTTCCTTCCAGAGTAGAGTGGCATTTCTAAAGGATTCAAGTCGATGTTGGGATGGAATAACTTGTGCTCCTTAGGATGCACCTTCTTCATAGATGAAACACCAGACACAGGCAGAAGTGAAGTGGACTTTGTACTTTTCCTGACAAATGTATGAGTTGCCACAGTAATATGCAAAGTTATTGAAATGATGTATATAATATATACGGATTTAGTATTAGTTATGTAAATTTCTCATTTTTCAGGGGGAAAGGCAGAGCAGAGAGTTGTGTGCTAGGATACTTCACAGCTTATATTGTGTTTTGGATTAAGCTTGGAGCCTGAGGCTGCTGGTGCTGTTTTGTCTTGAAGGCTGAATCAGTTCAACAGCCATAATTTTTGTAGGTATGGAAGAGCAATATGTAGTCTTGTTAAAAGCAACAGTCAAAGCAAGGATGGTGTTCTTGGAAGTTCAGCTCTAAACCAAGCAATTCTGTTGCACATATGTCTCTTTTGCTTGGTATTCGTTGCCGTTAGGGAAAATGTTCTATTTTGAGCATTTCTCATTTTGACTAGGAAAGACCAAAGGTGAAACGATGTGATAAACTGTAGGCTTGCAGATCTCTCTCCCCCTTGCTTTTCTATTAGTCCCAGCTTTATCAAGTCTCTCCATCCATGGGAATATTGGTTAGCAGTGCTTGTTGCCTGGAATATTGGGGGGCTCCTGGGTTTTCCTCTTACAGGTGCCTTTTCCACAGTAGTGGCAGGTCTTGCTCTACCAGTAATTCAGAATAGATGAAGTGTACAAAACTCTTCTACCTTGGTCAAAGCCTGGCTAGAGCTCAGCTCATGGGGAGAAGGTGGTGGTTGTCTCTGTCTCCATGGCAAAGGAAAACCTCTTGCTCTCACGGCACGTGGACAATTGCCAGAGGCGCTCCTGGCTCAGGCAGCCCAGCTCCTTCAGGAGCTTGAAGAGGTCGTTGCGGAATTTGACACCGATGAAGGCGTAGAGGAAAGGATTGAGGCAGCATCGGAAGCAGGCGAGAGTGTAGGTCACATCATCTGCCACGTCGAGCTTCTTGCTCTCCTCACATGAGCTGGTTTGGTTGAAGGCTGAGATGGTCTTGGCCAGCATGACGCCATTGTAGGGCAGCTGGAAGACAACGAAGACAATTACCACGGCGATGATGACCTTGATGGCTTTATTCTTCTCAAAGTTGCGGGCCTGGAGTAATGTTTTGATGATGATGAGGTAGCAGAAAGACATGACCAGTAGGGGAAGTAAGAAGCCAAAAACCATTTGGGACACTTTGATGCCAGTGTTGAAGGTCTGCAAGTCATTAGCGATGATGGAACAGCGGGGATGGCTGGTTGAGTTATTTACACCGCTGTGAACCAGCTCAGGGATTGAGAGGATGAAGGCCAGGAGCCAAATGAGGATGCATGTGACCTTGCTGATGAATATCATCCGGGGACGGAAGCGGTGGGCTGAGGCAGCCTGAACGATGGCAAAGTACCTGTCGATGCTGATGGACAGGAGGAGCAGCATCCCACTGAAGAAACTCATCTTGCAGATGCAGTAAACGGCTTTGCAGGCAAACTCCCCAAAAAGCCAGTGCATGGCTGCACTCGTGGCCCAAAAGGGGAGGGTCAGCAGGAAGAGGATGTCTGCCAGAGCCAGGTTCAGCAGATAGATATCCGTCATGGTCTTGAGCCTCTTGAAGTAGATGTAGGTGAGCATCACCAGCCCGTTCCCCAGCAGCCCCGTGAAGCAGATGAGGGAGTACATGGCTGGGAGGAAGGCAGCGCGGAAGTTACGGACTTCTTCCTTCTCGCACAGGATCTCAAACATGGTGTAGTCAATGGTGGTGTTGGAGTCATAGTCATCAGTGACGTTGTTCCCGGCGCAGAACTACAACAGGGAAGAAAAGACAAGTGTGTTGGGACAGATCCTGTGGCTGTGTCAGGAAGGGAGCCTGGTGCTGGCCTGTGAAGCAGGCAGGAGCACCCAGCCACAGAAAAGTCCCAGGGAGTTCCCAAGTACTGGCTCATGCCAGCATCGTGAACAGAGTTAGCAAAGTCTTGTGGCTGAAAACATTTCCCATAAGTATGTGGAGTCTGGGTTTTTTTGGGGGGCTCAGAACGGGAATTCCACAAGAAGCGTTTAGTGCTCAGCCAAAGTAACACCTGCAAACTCTCAAACGTGTGGCTGCTTTCCAGAATGTTTCAGGGCCCACATACAGCTGTATGTACATAGTCAGCTGTCGGGTAAAATGGGAAAAATAATACATCCTTCAGCCTTCTCCTTCTGTCGGCAGGGATAACATTTCCTCTTGACTGACTCTACTTGTGAGGCATTTCCTAACGTCAGCATTCCCTCCCTTCTCCCATCCGAGGGATTCCTGTCGCTCACCTCCCCTTCGCGGTGGGGGCAGTGCTGGAATGGGCTGCAGCGACTGTCCCCGCAGCGAGGGCTGAGCCCGCTGAGCGGCTGGAGCAGCGCTGCGAGCGAAGGGCTCCACGGGGGACACAGCTGGAGCCTCCCTGGGCTGGTTTCTTTGCTAAATTAATCGAGGTGTCAGTGAGACTGGGAGGAAACACAGCGAATGAAGCAGGAAACTGTTACCGTGCTGGTGCGGACACGTTGCTGGTGTCTCATTCAGGCCTCTGCTCCTGATGTAGGTTCTGATTACTCTTGTTTCATCTTCCTACACTGCCATAACCTACAGGGCAGAGTGAGCTTGTGGTATCTGCGCCCTGCTTTTTTGTGACTTATTAGTCTCCAGTACCTTCTCTCCATTGCAGAGAGATGAAAGGTTTCCCCTGGATACCTCTGCCTGTTATCACTGAATATCTTAGCGCGCTCTCCATCTCAGGCAGGCTTGGCTTTCACCACATCCTGCCTGCTATCTGGAGGCATGCCACCAGAAGTGAAAGGGAAAAGAAACAGGCTGCAAAACTCTCCTTGTTCTGCTGAGCCTCTCAGAGAGCCTGGGCTGGGGCCCGTGGTGTGGCTGAGGCCGTTCCTGAGGTGGTGGGAGCACAGGCGCCAGGGCCAGGCCCGCGGTTTAGGAGCAGGTCACGGCACAACTTGGTGCTTTGGGTTCTCCTTCCTGCTTCAGATTTACTCAGAGCAGGAGTAGGGAAAGGGAGATGCTGAACTCTTCCTCCTTGGAGATGTCAGCTCTTCAGCGCTGACCTCCGTAAAAGCCCAGCACTTTGCCCAGATCATCTGCAGAGAGCACTGAGCTGGCCCTTTGCGAGCAGTCTGTGTAGGATGTTCTCATCTTTCCTGAAAATGGGACTTGGTTCTAACAGCCCGGGCCCTCTTCAAATCACAAGTGTATGTCATTGTTTCTGTTCTCTCTTTGTTTTTGTTCCCCTTGTTTGTTTTTCCTCTGACTTCTAGCACTGCTCTGCTGTCTCATCACCCACCTCCACATGGGCTGGATCCTTCGTGTGAGCAGCCGTGTCCCCACACATCTCTGCAGGGCTGTGGGTGGCTGCTTTTTGCCTGTCAAAGTTTTTGAGATTTCTTTTTACCCACAACACAAATGCAGCTGGATTTCAACAATGTTGTTTTTAATATCTTACCTGAAAAATTAGAGGAAGGCTGAAAGCAAGGGTGACCTTGAACTGCTTGCCTGTAGAAGAAGGAGACAATGTTACTGTTAGCAGTTAAGTGGGGATTTCCAAGTGATGCTCACTTTGAAGAAGCAGTGGTAACATACTTCACCATGGCATTCTCAACCCTGCAAAGCTCCCCTGAGTCGGGTAAACTAGAACTCAAAGAAGGTGCTAACAGGATAACCCAGAGTCATATAACAGGTTTCTGTCACGGCACAGATTAAGTCTCCGGAGTCTGGCCCCTCCAGTTTCATCTGTAAAGGCTGCTAGCTAAGGGCAGTTAACTCATGCACAGTGTACCCATTTTTATTTTATACATTTTTTTTTTCCCTTCAGCCAGTCAGCATCCTGTCTCCTGTGCCTTGTTCTGGGCTGTGAGGGTGTAGCATACTCAACTCATGTAAAAAACATACAGCTGTGAGGGTAATAAATCTGGCCCAGCTGTTCCCTGACAGTGTGGTGATGGGACTGCAAAACAGGAAAGCTCTGCTCCCTGCAGGACATACGTGACTGAAGCTGGCTGAAATTTATTGCTTGTCTCTAAATGTCAGAGTTGGCTTCTGCTGCCTTTGGATGTGGAGGTACAGGATGCTGACAGCCGGGAGGAAAACTTGAATTCAGAGCCAGATGTGATAATGGTGAGAGCAATCTCAGACAAACAGCTCTTCCTGCTGTGGTTAGCAGAGGCATAGAGGCCAGTGAAAGCTTTCTCTTCACTCTATTTAAAGCATGTACCAGCATCTGCCTCAGGCAGTTACGACTGAAAGTTGCTCAGGCTAGAAGGTGATCTGTGAGAAGGTCCTGGCCTCTGCTCTGGCACGAGCAGATGATGTGACCTTCCCTGAGGGAGAGCTGGCATCGGCCGTTTGGAGCATCATCACGCTGCTCATCCTAGGATGTCTCTCTAGGCCCTGGCTAGTTCCCTGCGCCGCAGCCTCGCACTTCCCTGCCGATTATCTGCTCTGGGATCCCTGAGCCAGGCTGGGACAGAGGCTGGAGATGCCTTTGGCTTTCAGCTGCCTGTGTCTTCTAGGGACTATGGCTTTCTCCTCCTGGCCTGTTCAGAGATTTGACTGATTCCTCTGCCCCTCTTGTGCTTGGCAGTCTGTTGTACACAGCTCCGTTCTGTATCTTTGCAGAGCTCCTTTGCGCCCTTCCCTGCTCTGCTGGTCTCCTGTTCGGGTGTTGCACCGGACCAGGATGATGAACTCCCACTCCTTCAGGTAACTGCAACCGTTGCGCCAGTGTCCCCACTTTGTCACGTGCAATAACATCATTAATAACAGAAACAGTTACTTTGGTATCTGTGATTGGAGGTGCACGTTTACATGTGAGTGGTGATGTGTGGGTGCGAGATCCTCAGCCACATGTGAAAAAAGTCGTTCTCACCCCCAGAGCCTGTATGTGAGCTGCCCACTATGTCTCAGAAGTTTGTGCCTTGCCTTCCCCCGCCTTGTTTTCGTCTTTTATACTCATGCAACTGGGTGCTTAGGTATGTTCAGATACCCCTCACCTTCTCTGAATCCTCCTGGGGGATCTGAAAAATGTAATAGTGCATCGTTAGTGCAGTTTACAGTCAGGAGCAGAGTATGCCAAGGTTGGGCTTGAGGAGTAGACGAGGAAGTTTGGCTAAATGCTCCTGTCTGTATTTTCTGTGTGTCCAGTTGTTTTCACGCTGACCAGTCCCAGGCTGCAGGAAGAGGTTTGGTGAGTATCTGGTGTAGCCATCTCTCCCTTCAAGCTGCTAGTCTAACTTTTGCATGTTACACACAGGAAATACACTGAAAGCCCAAACCACTTAAACCTGCTGGGTGAATTTAAGCAAGCCTAGACTGTAATTGCTTTCCCTACCTGGCTCACAGACATGGGGTCCCTGACCTCTGCACAAAAAACCAAAACCCTCAGCCATTAGAGTCCTTAGTCTTCTGTTCCACCTTTTTAACAGCCTGGTTTCCAGGGGACTCCTGGAGTTGGTGCTTGTGTCTGCCTGTGCCTGTTGAGGGGCCAGAGGTAATTACCATCCATCTCAACCACACTGGGCAGGGACCGAGACCTCAAGGGCAATTAACTTCCTAGAAGCTGCCTGAAAAGGAGGCAGAGGAGAAGAGCCACTCCCAGTGCCCGGAGGAGAGGCACCAGCCTAAACCCGACTCCGTCGGTGCGCTGCTCTCGGCATTGCCTGGTTTGCAGTTGGCAGTTGTCTCCCACAAAGGACACGGCACTGCCTAATGCTGGGCCACCAGCACGGCCTGGGCAGTTGCCCTCTAAGCACTGTACCATCTTCATTGGCTATTTTTTTTTTTTTCCATCTTCCCTTCAAGCCTCAGGACCAGCCCAGCCCTTGCTTAATCTGAAAAGACAGGAGCACACAGCCCCAGTGACTTGCTGGTCTTGTCTTTTTTTAATTAGCACACTGTGAACTGTCTAACGAATTAGGACTGATAAAGTGACTCAACTAACGATCCTGAAACAGTTCAGCTAAGTATAATTCCTTTGAAGATCTTCACGCTTTTTTCTTATCGGTTGTGGTTTCAAGTGTTTTTAAATGTCAAATGATTTTTCAATATAAAAAAAAAAAGCTGGCACCATTCCTTCCCCCCTTTCTGACCCCCCACCTTCAGCTTACACACTTGCAAAGCCATAACCAGAGAGGTGACGCTGCCTCGTGGTTGTCTCACATGAGTCTTCTGAGCACGTCCCTGCCTCACCAGTTTCAGGCGGACTGGAGGGGACGCACGTTTCCCTGCAGTGCTCTCAGGGGTCCAGGGCAGCGGTGGGGAGAAGCAAATGAGTTTTAGAGAGGAAATGAGACATGCTCTGGAGTTTAATAGGCAATTTTAGGTAACTTGCTTTACTCTTTCTTTTTTTTTTTTTTTTCCTCTGACAGGTCTCTGCTGTGGGTATTTTCCTAAAGTTTGTTCCTCAAAATACTAAAAAAACCCCTCTCAAAAATCCCCACAATCAGTTGAAATAGAAACCTCATTTATAAAAAGATAACAAAAACCCAGTACACCAAATGAGTCAGGCCCTCTGCCCCTCGGCAGGCGAGGCACTGGTTCGCTTCTGTCCCGCAGGACCCAGGAAAAGGTGGAAAGGAGAATTGTTCTGTACAAATGAAAGAGAGAAGGAGGTCTGCTCCCTGCTGTTGATGGCAGGGCATGGGGGAGAGGGGACAGCAACCCACCACAGAGTAAGCACGAGGGGTGGGATTCATCCCACTGAACTCGAGCCCTTGACATCTGGCTAGTTGTTTGGGCTTCCCTGGTAGCAAAGGGAAAGAAACGGGTGTTTTTAAGGCATGGTTCAGCTGCCAGGGGGTAGGCATCTGGGGTGCAGGTCAGGCTGTGCTATGGCAGAAAGGTCGGTGTGTTTGGACAGATGAATCCCATCCAGTTTATCTGAATCTCCCGTAGCATCAGCAGCCAATCTTACGCAAGATTAAAGCAGCAGTGAATCCCGCAGGTATGCCCAGAAAAGCTTCTGACATCAAGAAATAGTTGGTAGCAGAAAGCCTACTCAGAGGAGGAAAGAGGAGCAGAAACACAACCACATAGGACGGTTGAAATGAACTGGACAAACAAAATCTTGCAGAATGAAGCACGCCCCAAGCAGGTCAGGCTCTAAGCTGCTGCTCTCCTCCGCTGGCACGAGGAATGCACAAAGGGAAAAGCAAGAGTTGGGGCTGCTTTAGGGAGTATTGGCAAAGCCAGGCAAACCTGCTCTAGTTAAACCTCGGGTTGAAAGAATATTTTTCTGTTGGCCAGAACTGCAAAGCACAAGTTTCAGTCTCAAACACCTTAACGCATGTGTAGGCTGTGATTAACGTACTGTTTGTATCTTTAAACATGTATCAGTTTCTGGTGCCTCTTCACCAACAGTATAGTAGGCTTTTGGGGAAAGAACCGGATAGTTCTGAGAAAAACTAATCATAGTAAAATGATAGAATGACTAGTGGCAGTTCACAGCTCAGTGCCTTTTCTCCCCCCCTCTTCCCCTCTACTTCTCACAAACAGCAGAGGAGAGATGCCATCATTTCAGGAGTGAACAGACCCAATGAAACTAAGTCATACTTTTATTTCATGTGTTCATAGGTCTGTTACAGAAGGAAGTCAATTATCTGCTTAAGGGTGGCCCTTTTAGGAAATTGTGAATCAAAAGACAAGATAAGCAGAGATAAGCAAGTTAACAAATTCATTCTTAAGTGAGCAAATCATGTTTCCTACATAACTTTCTTTTTTTTTTTTTAAAAAAAAGCAATAGTGTTGTGTACCTTTCAGTGCTATGAAATATTTCTTTCAGAATATTTCTCTGAAATACAACAGTAGGACAAAAAACCCAAAGCAGGAAAATTGTCATACCCTTCTCGTCAAGTTCTCACTAATTCTTTTTCCTGTCATAAGTAACCTTCACCAATTAGCTACAGTCAGAGTAACAGCTGTCCCCCCAAATATTGAACCTCTTAAAACAAGAAACCTACAACGCACCCCCATGATGTGTCAGAGGCCAGAAGTTTAAATGAGAGGGGTGGTGTGTGGGGAACAGGTCCAGCTGGTTGGGATGGGTTGGTTTGGATGCAGAGATTCCAGAATTCAGGGATTTCCTAAGCCACTGATTGCCAGAAGCTTTGAGGAGGCATCTGCGAGATGACACCTCCTGCCCCATCCCTGCTTCTGCCTGGGGGGGCCATGGGTCCCAGCACCCCCACTGGGGCGTTCTGCATTCCCGATTGCTTTTCCCCAGCGTCCCTGCAGAGGCTGGGGGACCCTGAGCTTCCCCCTTCCTAACTCAGCACCAGGTCAGCACCGGCTGCATGTGGGACACTCTCCTGCTTAATCCAGAAAGCCCTGCCTGGAAAATGAGGACTAGTTTGGGGACTGAAACAGTGGACAAAGATGCAAAAAGAAGTGGTTATTTTCCCAGCTGTACCAAACTGACCCTCTGTGATTTTTGCATGAGTCACTTTAAGTTTCTGCATCTTAATTTCTTCAAAAAAGGAGAGGGCAATAGTCCCCATTCATGTGCTACAGTCTAAGGCACCTGTAGGGAATTGGGCGCTCAAATCTCCGTGTATTCACAGACTGTCTCTAGCTCTGTCTGCAGCTCTTGGCACGGGACGCTGCACCTCCCTGCTGCAGCGTTGGGAGGCACAGGGGACCTCCTCGCATCCCAGTTAATGTAAAGCTCCGATTTGAAAATGTCACAGAGAAAAGGCAGTGACACCTGCCCTTTCATCCTGTTACAAAGCTTAATTCCTGATGCCCGGGACAGAGCTTTCCTGGGATGAACTCCACGGCTCCTGTCCCCTCCCTCCCACCATCCCTCTTACAGCTCTGACCGTGTTCTCTGGCACAGAGAGGTAGTGGTTCTGTTCTAACTAGTGATTATAACCCAGTTACAAGCCCTGGTTATAAACTAACTTACCCGCCTGAGCTATTGCACTTGTCCCTCTTCCCTGCACTCCCTCAGTCACACTGGAATTACTGTTTGCAATTATTTGAGCAATAAGCAGATAAAAACAAGTTAAAAAGGAATAAATCAGAGTCTTAGAAGAAAGAGCCTGCTTCTTATCTGCCCCATCTGCAACTCGCAGTGCCGTTCCCCTCCTGCAGCCGCCCACCCACTCAAGCGCCTGGAAGCTGGTGCCGCAGAGCACTGGGCGTGAAAGAACAACAGCAAATGGCAAAAGAAAGTTTGAAACTTCCAGCAGGCAAAAGAAACAAACTGCTGTGTGCCTCCTGGGCTAACGGGATGGGGTGTACTGGAGAGAAGAGGCTTCTCTTGCTTACGTGCTCTTCTCCGCGGGTACCGTGACGGGGTAGCGCGTGGGAATGCAGACCCACACGTGCGCTGATGCAGGGCTGTCGTGGCAGCAGTGAAGATATTCATTAATAGAAACAATTTGTAAAAGACTGGACAGACTTAGCCAACAATAAACTCAGATGCGCTTGGTCCTAATTCTTTGATTTATTCACTGAATTAAAATGTTGCCAAGGAGACAGCATTCTCTTTTTTTTTTTTTGTTTCTTATTTTGTAAGAACATAGAAGAAAAGGTACAAGTTATGTGAGAAGAGTTCATTTGCTTTGGGATGAAATAGCCCCGTGAAATTGCCTCCAAACCTGTTTTTTGTGTGTGTTTGTTTCTGAAATAATTGATTTGAGGTTTTTTTGAGCCTGTAAGAGAGAACTTTGCCTTTTTTTTTTTTTTTTAAATAGTAAATGTGAGAAAGATGAAAGTCTTTCATATTGTTTAAATACTCTTAAAAGTGCTTCATCCCTGTGTCATAAGGCATGAATTTGGGCATTATTAGTAAAGCTGAAGACAAAGCCAGAGGCTGCAGAACAGGTACTCACCACCATCCATGGTCTTGTTTCAGAGATGAAATCACGAGCTTAGCAAGAGCATCATATGTTCCAGCACAGCCTGAAGGTGCCGCAGCTCCTACCAGAGACCCTCTTTGAGAAACTCTGTCTTTTATACTTCCTGCACCTCTGCAAGAAGCTCATGACACACCCTGGCGTCACTGACATTTAGTAGACCCTCCTTCTCCTCGTGCTTTCACCAATACAGGAAGGTTGTGCTGTGCCCCACGCTGCCTTCAGACACTCGGGGTGCTCAGGTGCTTCCTCAGCCTGTGCAGCCAAGGGCTGCACACACCGAAACTCGGTAAAACCAAGTGCATGGGCACGTGAGAAATTATGTGTGGTGAAGGGACGAGAGGAAAGACTCTCCTTTGTTGTTATCTCTCCTGTTCACGGCAGATCCTGCTTCATCTGCCAGAGCATCCACCAGAAGCCAGTGCCATAGGAAACTGGGAGGATCCCCATCTCCTCCACCAGATCCTTTCTGGGAAGGTGTTCAACTACCACATGAAAAATCTCAGTGTGCAGGACTGCCAGTGGCCAGCACCCCTTTGCCCTCCTCCACATGCTTACAGGATCCTTTCCAGATTATCAGCAGCTCCAGCAAGTGGACTTTCCCACCCCTCTCCCCTCTTTCTGCTTTTGGGTGTTTTTGTGTTACCATCTGCTGAGTATCAGCACGCACCATCTTCCTCAAAAGGTTTTGCACTTTCGCGGTCCCACGCCTTCCCCACCATCACGTTACTGCAGAAGTTTCAGACCTCAGGATGTAGCCCTGGGAGGACCTGCAGCACTGTCAGCTCTGGTCCCTGCCTCAACAGGGAGTCACTTCATCCAGTCCTGCTCCTAAAGGATCAGTTGCCATCCGAACCCGTGGCTTTTGTTTCATTGCTGTCATAGGTGGGCCCCGGCTCTTGGGACAGGCTCCTCTAGCAGGTAGAATCATCACCAGCTCCTCATGAACTTGCTTTCCTTCCAAGGTGACTCAAAAGTATTCACTTTGGCATCTTGTCCTCTGCATCTTCTTCTTACAGTATGTCAAGGCTGTTACTGGGACAGTTTGCTGTTCCAGCTGGGACAGATGGAAAAATAAAGCATCACAGGATGGACCCCAGACAGAGCTTACGGTCCCTGGCAGGTTCAAAAGCACCCGGCCCTCTGGGGTTATCCTGGAGTTGGGTGTGCAGGTCACCTGCTCGGTGCTGGAGGAAGGTGCAACAGCTCAGGAAGGACCCGAAGGAGCCAGTTCACTGCACTGGGACCTTCTGAAACCAGCCAGAAAGACCAGGCTGGTGGAAGAGGGAGAACACAAGCCGGGCAGTGTTTATGTGCCTGGGAGACACCTGAACAGGCCCTATTCTGCTTCTGCAAATTGAAGTAAATGAAAACCTATGCTACTTACGTTGCATTTAGGCTAATTTAGAGGGAGTGTATTTACTCTGCATCAGACAACTATGTCTATTACAGAAGGCATCTGTGGCAGGCAGCCCCTGTCTGGCTGCCATGAATCACTGTCCTTTTCCAGGTAATCTGATCAGGGTCTTACTCAATTATCTGGCCATTATACAGGATACATATTACAAGGAGCAGATAAGTTGTGTTAAATGAGTTGATCCATTAGGTCAACACCAGCACCTCAGCCCTGCTGCTCAAACAGCCTTCAGGGGCAGAACCCAGCTCGCTGCAAGTAGCTTCAGCCAGCGTCCAAGCAGAAATCTTTTTGTGAATAATGCCTTTCTAAAGGTTAAAACACTACGACCAGTGGATGTTCAGTAGTCCGTGGCTCATGGGAAAAGGAAGCACTTTTCAGTGCTGGAGAGAGCTGATTTGTTTCCTTCTGACACGGTTTAGCACTGGAAAATCTGAAGATTTGGTGTTGTTAAAAAACCCAACATTATGATGGGATGTTTCTGTTTAAATTATTTTCAGATAATATAATGACTAATCACAGCCAAATCGGGTCTTCAGTAGAATTTGTGTATCTATAAAAGTCTGATGTTAAAACTACTGATCACTTGCTGCCTTGCCTTTAACACCAACTAATTCAAGGTGAAGCCAAATGTTTCACTCCCTAGCTCTCTCAAGCCCAAATTAAATACAGCCGAAGTCAAGGCTCCTGTGGATGGTCTCAGATCCTGTGTACGTGCCCGTCCACACTTTCAGACCCTCCTCACACATTGTGCCAGCCCAGCCATCACTTAAAAACCTTCTCAGTGTTCCCCTCTCAGCCCGCCGGTGCCACTGTGGTTCCAGTCCCATTCTGGGGCACTTCACGTGCAGGAGGCCAGGGCGTGAAGACTGTCAGCGTTTTTATCTGGCTTCACAGCAGGTGACCCACACTTTCCTTCGCACGCTCTAAGCACACATCACTGCCTGTTCAGCACACTCGCTTTTGACTTGGCTCGGTAAGCAGGTGCACCTCACAGCTCTGCAACTATTTATGGCTCTGTTTTCCTTTTGTTCGTCAATTATCCAAGCAGGTATGCTGCCTTTAGAGTTTTATCTTTTAACCACTTCCGCCAAGAAGGACTAGAGATGAAAGACTTCTCTCAGATACAGGCAGAATACCTAGAAATGGTGGGTGTAAAGCCTTTAAACGTAGGCATGGTGCTGTCTGTGGGAGCGGTGGGCGTGCAGAGAGAGGCGCGATCGCCTCAGTTTGCTCTGTGCCACCAGAGAGAGGGGAAGGGGCTGTAAAGCAGCAGCTCCGTGAATCCCTCCCCAGATCCACAGCGGCTGAAGCCAAAGACAATGAGAGAAAGGGGGCAGGCAGACGGTTTGCAGTTTGTTTTCTGCACATCCTCTCAAGCTTTATCTTCAAAGTTTTGGTACGTGCCAAGTTCTGTGTTGTCAGAGCCAATTCAACCAAATTGTTATCCTTAAAAAAGAATGGGAATATTTCAAAATAAGCAATTTACTATGTCTTTATGACACTGAACCTTGTACAGTCATGTTTTATACCTAGGGAGCTCTCAAAACATTTGTTAAAGCTTTGCTCAATTTCATTGTGTGGATTTGCAGTCTATTTCATGCCTTAGTGATTCTGTCTCTCTGACATACTGCCTTTATCACGTGCGTCCCATGAGCTATCTTTTACAAAAATGTGATCCTGCATGAACAAACATACCGCACTTCTCGGTGCCAGGCCTGACTCTGCCCCGGACAGCCACGCTGTGCTGTTTGCTCACTAGAACACATTTGTTACCCTGAAGTTAAATTAGCTATAAAAGCCACCAAACAAGTCACCAGGTATTTTCTCTCTTGTGTCAGAACCTAGGTCACTCTGCTCGCCTGTACTACGAGAAGAGTGGAAATCGGTGATTCAAATTTGTTGCCCAGGTTGCAGTACTAGGGCTAGATGGCAGTTATTCATCAATATGGCTTCTCAAAATTAAATGCAATTCCTAATAAATTCCACAGGAAGTTAGGTCAGAAAGAAAGATTTCAGTTCTTATTGGTTCCACAAGAACTGAAACATTGAATTTGCTGAACTGAATTGAAACAAGTAATCCTGAGCTGAACTGTCATTGGATTGCGACTCATTCAGCAATGAAATCTCTCGTGGGAATTTTGTTCCTGTATTTCACATCTGTGTCCTGGGTGTTATATTGGACTTCTTGCAGTCTGTCCTTCAGCTCAGTCAGACATCCCGAGAGGGAAAGGATCCCAGTGCCTCACAGGAGATGGTGCCTGGCCAGCGCGCCCAGGCTGTGTGATCTTAGAAAGCAGAACTCAGAAGGCTCTACTGCACTTCAGCAAGGTGTAATTCATTCTGAAAAAGAGCACGAGACAAGATGTTTTTACATCCTGAATTCGAAGTCTTTGTGTATTTTCCACTAATTTTGCTTTAAGTGCATCGAGATGGAAACCAGACTGACATATCACTTTCTCAGCAGGTGGAGAGTCCCTGCAGCTGCGGCAGCTCTGCCCGTGGCCGTGCTAGAGCCCCGCGCCCCGCCTCAGGGATCGGCTCACACGGCGCTGGGCCAGCGGCACGAGCAGTTTCGGGCGAGCAGACTGATAGTACTGTAGTCCAGGCTTCAGGCTGAGCACCGAAGAGGGTTTTTCTGTACAAATCAAAGCATCACAGTTCGAATCCAGGTATCATAGGTCCCTTGCAATCTGCTTCCTCTTTCCCTGCAGCCTGCCACAGGACAAGGTGGCATGGGGCACCGAAGGGGACACCAGCTGCCTCCCCCCCTGCTCTCAGCTCTGCTGTTCTGCTCTTGCGCTGGCCGAAACCACCAGGAAGGGTTTCTCCCCTTCGCTGTAGGAAGCCAGAAGCACTGGTGAGTTAAGGGTGAACATTACTCAACTGCCCACTTCCCAGTAACGTCCCTCTTCTTACGTCAGGGAGGGACTCTGACATCTCCTCCGCTGTTTTGCTTTGTCCGGCAATTCCAAACCAAGATCTCTGGGATCTCCCACTTCCAGTTTTGCCTCCTGCCCAAATCCCCCTCTCAGCTCTGCTCTCGAGCTACTGAGCTGGCATTTGGGGACATCCAGGCAAAGTTCGTGTGTTGAGGTCAGTAGGTTTACTCGAGGGGATGAGGGAGGGGGGGTGGCTTTGACACAGTTGTTCCTCAAGCAAATAAAATAGCAGAAGTGAAATTGTGAGTAAATTCCTGACATTAAGAGCAGTACCGAGCTAGGATTCCTCACCAAGAGGAGTTCTTAGAGTGGTTGTAGGGGATGCCCTGCAAAAGATCTCCTGATTGTGATCTCACCATGAGGTTATTAAAAGATCCTTATCCTCCCAACAGAGGAAGTAATCTGTGCAGCAGGCAGGCTCCTGGCGGGGCTGTGCAGTTGCCCGTGGTGCCTGTTGGTCAGCCACAGGAGGGAAGGGCACTGCTTGGTGTCACTGGGAATTCACCTTCTTCATGCCTGCATCATGTCACGGGTGACAGCCTCTCTCTGGTTCTTTTTTGGAGAAGAAAAAAAGCAGTTTTACCAGATCGGCATCTGCTCTGCACTAAAGCATCTTCCTCAACCTGCAGTCCAAGAACTGAGCTGTGACGAGGGAAACGTGCCCAGAGACACAAGCGGGGAGAGGCCAGGCTGGCAGAGCCAGGGGCTCGCTGCTGGCCGGGGAATCGGCCACCGGCCCCAGGTGCTGCTGGTTCCTGCGTGGCTTCCCGCCAGCTCCGCTCCGTTTTGTTTGCCCACACTACCAGGTCCCTTGGTACTCGGAGGGGCCTGTGAGGAACAAATGGATCCTTTCTGGCCTGAACTAACACGAAAGAGGCAGTGGTCACCCCAGAAATGGCAGGTGGGGAAAGGAGGAGATGAAATAGGAAGAAAACCTCCCGGGACAGTCTAGGAACCATGCTGGGGAGGGTGCACGGCCACTGGTTACGTCTAGAGAGGGTTTTGAAGTCTTCCCTGTACTTCATTCCTACACAGGTGGGCAAACGAAGCTGGGAAGTTCCCACAGGGTATCTAACACCAGTGAGCAATGAATTGTTTAGGGAGATAAAGAGATAGCTTTATGTCTCCTAGAAAGACTTGAGGGTGAAAGTGTCTGCTGACCATACAGCAGGCATCCTTCCTGTGAGCCTGTGTTACCGTGTTCAAAAGGTGTAAGTTTTTAACACCTATCCCCCGTGGTCTTTGGCACAAAACTGAATACAGCAACAGGGAATAATCCCACCAGTGATTTCTCCAAGAAGAGCTCATCCAGTCCCCTCTGTCACAGATTTGGCATTCTTCACGCCTGGGTTTAAAAAATATTAAAAATCATACTGTGATTTTTCACTCTGTTTCTGTTGTTACTGTCACTCTTTTTGTTTTGGCTTTCCACACCCCACACCCCACCTCCTGAATTGGTGCCAGGATTCAAATGGCTTTTTCTTGCCTTTTTAATAGAAATAGTGAAAAAAGGCAAATTGAAACTAGCTGTTTACAGAAATTACAGACTTTTACAAGTCACAAGGGAAGCTGTCGGTGATAATTTACAACAAAAATAAGACACCAGCCTGATAACTGCAAAACCACTTCAAAAAAACCCCTTGAAGACTGTGGAAAAAAGCATCAAAGCGAAAGAAGGGAACTGAGAACAAAAACAATGAGCTAGACGTGAGCCAGAGCAGGATCCGTGCTTTCAGACCTACAGTCTAGCAGCTGATCCCCACCTGGTTATCGGTCCAAATCCCACTAGGGAGAGATGTGCAGTGATCACTGTCAAGAATAGTCTGCATCCGCAGGGGAGACTTCAGAGCCAGGAGAGCACTTGATTAAGCATTGAGCACCTTGATGAGGTGTGCAGGCTCCGTCAGGGCAGGAACAGTGACAGCTGCCATCAGCCCTGGAGGTCGCCGGGACTGGCTGGGTGCCAGGGAGGTCGCCGGGACTGGCTGGGTGCCCGGGAGGGAGGACGGGACTCACTGGGTGCCTGGGAGGGAGGACGGGACTCGCTGGGTGCCTGGGAGGGAGGACGGGACTCGCTGGGTGCCCGGGAGGGAGGACGGGACTCGCTGGGTGCCCGGGAGGTCGCCGGGACTCGCTGGGTGCCCGGGAGGGAGGACGGGACTCGCTGGGTGCCTGGGAGGTCGCCGGGACTCGCTGGGTGCCCGGGAGGGAGGACGGGACTCACTGGGTGCCCGGGAGGTTGCCAGGACTCGCTGGGTGCCCAGGAGGTCGCCAGGACTTGCTGGGTGCCTGGGAGGGAGGACGGGACTCACTGGGTGCCCGGGAGGGAGGACGGGACTCGCTGGGTGCCTGGGAGGTCGCCAGGACTCGCTGGGTGCCCGGGAGGGAGGACGGGACTCGCTGGGTGCCCGGGAGGTCGCCGGGACTCGCTGGGTGCCCGGGAGGGAGGACGGGACTCACTGGGTGCCCGGGAGGTCGCCGGGACTCACTGGGTGCCCAGGAGGGAGGACGGGACTCACTGGGTGCCCGGGAGGGAGGACGGGACTCGCTGGGTGCCCGGGAGGTCGCCGGGACTCGCTGGGTGCCCAGGAGGTCGCCAGGACTTGCTGGGTGCCTGGGAGGGAGGACGGGACTCACTGGGTGCCCGGGAGGGAGGATGGGGTGCAGTTCCAGCTCCTTCCCCTGTCTGCCGTGAGTCGACACCCTGCTCTGCAGCGCAGCGTTTGCAGTTTATACCCAGGGGGCCGAGAGAGCATAAAGCTGCTTTCTAGCCTCTGCTGGAGGCATACCACCACCTACCACGGCTCTCAGCTGCGTTTCTGCCTGGGCAGGCAGTCGGGGGCACTGAGGGCAGGGAGCACGGCCAGGGCTCGAGTCCCCGACTCCCTGCTCGCCATCGCTGCGGCGAGGACTGTTCCCTGCAGCAGTGGGCTCGCTGAACGCCCCCCCCCCCCGCCTGCCCCCTTTCCCAGCCGGGAGCAATTTAGCAGTTGAGCCCCCGTGTGTTCTGCAAGCACGGAATTAAAGACGCGGAGCGTTCCGCCCCGTTCAACGGAGAGGCCACCGCGAGGCAAAGCTGACAGGCTGGACGTGGTTTCTGCTCAAAGCGAGATCCGAAACAACAACAAACCCCACACTGTAGCTCCCAGCGAGTTCACACGTGAGCGTAAAACCTGCGGCAGAGCACCCGTGCTCCCGAGGGCGGCGGGTTCCCGAGGGGAGGCACAGAAGCCGGCAGCAAACTGCGGCTGCTGCTCAGGAGCTTTTCGTGCAGTACAGCTGGGTGACAACGAAACCAGGTTGTTTGTGCTGAATATTGCACCCACACACGTCTCATCTCCACAGCACTGCTCGAGCCAAAACACTAGGGCATCCTTGTTACTTGCTGTGAAATCCTGCCCTTCTTCAGATGAGGCAGTTTGTGGTACAAAACACTGAGAATAAACTAAAGTTATTTTAACACTTGCACTCAAAAATCCCAGAAAACTATTACTAACAAACTTTGCATGCTGAAGTTTG